GACAGAAATCTTCATACTCTGATGACGGAGGCAGTATGACCTCTGAAACGTTGGTTAACATCGACCAGACTACACAGCGCAACAACCCAGAAGACAGAAATCTTCATACTGTGATGACGGAGGCAGTATGACCTCTGAAACGTTGGTTAACATCGACCAGACTACACAGCGCAACAACCCTGAAGACGGATATCTTCACGTTACTTAAAACTTAAATAATACCAAGACGAGTGGCGAATTGACCCTCTGAAACCAAAGCTCTTCTAAATGATATATAAAAACTCACTCCGTACCGCAAAGAAAACAACGCGTCTACATGACAAAGATCAACTGGATAGTGCTGTTCATGCCAATAATAGCTGAGAATCATACGAAAGCCATAAATGCAGTTACTGAATGGTAAATCCGATACTACATAGTTAGTTGCCACTGGGTTTTAAAGAGTTAATCGTGACTCTACGGCAAATGTGCTAAACGCAGCATCGTCCAACTGAAATACACAAAACGAGAACACCGTGTAATGATGCTCAGTAATATTTAACAGACAGCAATAAAAATGAAAATGTTGATACGTTCAGCTCAACCAACAGCGTGCTTCAAACTCCTTTATCACTCGACGCCATGGTAACGCACAATAAACATAACACCAATAGTTTACAGCAACTCATAAATCCGGCTTATAGTTAAATGTTCCAATTTTTTTTAAAAAAATAAAAAGTTCAATTTCCGCTGAGAGTCAGTCAGACTATTCCCCCCCCAAGTGCATCCAGGGGTGTCCAAATCCAACAGCCAAAATATCGATGAACTATACCGATCAAATGAAATGCAAAAAATTCAGCCACAAAAGATCTCTCTCTCTCTCTCTCTCTCATCCCATTAGACTGGACCTGACTAAAACAGACAGCAATGGAGTCTGATAATCAACTTAACATTACGCCTACATTCTTCACTTACAGCCACACCTCATTTACATTCAACGCCAACCTTAAAATGCACCAATTAATTTCCGAATCACCTGTACGGCTAAGCCAGGGACTTAAGCAGTAATCAACTTGTCTTATTTTTAGCGATGTTAATCTCCTGTTGATGTTAATCCCTGTGGGAGTGGGCTTCAAAACTGACCCTTTGTCCATCCCTCCCAAACGACGATAAATGAGTGGCAGAATTATAATAACAAAGGAAAACCCAAGGCATGTCTGTCCACCACAAATCCAACGCGTACAACGTTGGGTACGATCCCGGAACTCTGCGGTAAAAAGCCTTCGACTATGCGCTTAAGCCTGACACGAACATAGTTAATCTTAGTATGTACGTTGTACAGCAGCCATTAATCGGTGAAGGGAACGCACACAACGAATTTATATTATTCTTCACATTTATACAGTGTGCCCCAAAAAAACCTACACACACGATAAATGGAATAAAGACATTTTAATAAACTAAACCATTACATACGTTAGCACTGGCACTTAGTGAAAAAGCGAATGTACAGTTCAAAACGACCACCTTCAGCTTCGTGGCAAGATGACAGTGGTAAGCAACCGACTGACAAGTTTAATATTCCGTAGTAATGTGTAAGTATGTTTTGGGACACCCTGTATAAACAGACGGGCACAAATGTTCCCTGCTAATGCACTCAGTTCCTCAGTCGGGATTTGAATATAAAGTGAAGCGACCAAGATGTAAGTAGCTCCTCCAGGTTCAGAGGTACAGACAGAGGCAAAAATATTGGCTCGTAACGGTCGCGTTGCAAGTATTGGCATGCTGAAAACATTTATCTCAGGTTTCAGTTCTGGATGGCAGTCCGTCATACACAGTCGAGTCCACAGTCAAATGAGTTTTTAATGACTAGAAGATTCGCTA